GAGGGAGAAAGGGTCTAAAATCCACTCTTCTAGCTATGTGCGTGATGTAATAATAATAGGCAGTGTGAATATATCGACACTGGCAGCATTTTAATGAGAACAAGTTAGCAATTGCACTAACTTAACTAACTAATTTTTACCGATACTCAACAAATTAGGAGCAACTTATTGTGACCTTTTCTTCATTAGATTGTTTTCATAACTTGTCATTGTATTGTATCTATATTATTGCTTATTCTGATTGAGTTTTACTTTGCATTTCGAAAGCATTAACGTCAATTTATATTAAATCATTTGATTTATATTACTGTAGTTAGATAGAGAAAAAGATTCAATCACGGACTACATCACTTTAATATAATTTCTTAAAATTGGTCGGAGTAGCAAATTCAGTTTTTAGGTAACAAAATAACAATAAATTGTGAGCTTATAATTTGCGAGCTGTTAATACGTAACTCGCCGGTTGACGCAGCAGAGTTGAGCAAAGGTAGATAGTTGATCCACTCAGCTCTTAGCATTACATTGGAGGTGGATATAGCTGTATTTCATGCGTCTTCAATGACAAGGATACATAACAACGGAGCAAGTATTTAGTTTGCTCACCAACTCCGATAACAGTGACAAATTACGTACCGGTTAACGTATGATGAAGAAATTGTAGTGAGAAATCTTAAATGCTTAATGCAATAGGCAGTCATACCACTAATTTTGAAATTATCCACCTCCTGTGTTGTCGAGCATGGACGAGTTGCTCCACGTGGTCAGTCCCTAAATGAAATTATTCTAATCTCCAAAAAGGTAATGGTACAGTTGCTCCCCAATGTCAATTTGTGTATAATTAGGTAGGTACCTTGGTATTGTAATGTTCGTGGGTTTAAAAAAATTAACTTCTAAGACTGATAAAACTATAAACAAAAACTATTTATTTACACTAATTATTAATAAATCACTATTTACTGCGCTATTTATTTCACTGCTATCACTGTCAATTTATTTCTCGACTCACTTCTGCAACGGTCAATTTATTTCTCCTCTTCTCGACGATCGTCTCTTCCTTTAAACACTCTTTTGTTTACTTTCGGGAGCCTTCTCGAAACATCCGGATAGTTTCTTTTTTCTTTGAACTGTTTAACTGCTTTCCCATGTACAACACACACACACATACGTGGCTAGTCGGCAAATCGATAAGCCGTTCACGCACACGTGTCCCCGATCGCACACAAACACGCTCGTACTCGCTGCACTATTATGTGCACTTACAAGTTGTCTGAAGATTATTTTCAGACAAATTCGGAAACAGCAAGAACTAGAACAAGAATTAAAGTCAAAATCGGATTCCGTCTTAAGTAAAGATGAAACCCACTTGGAGGAAGTTTAGGGCAAAAATGTGCTAGGTAAATTACGAATAAGTGTTTCAATTTTAATAAAACGACGAGCTGAAAGCTCAACATTTGTTGGTTAAGAACTCAAAAAAACTGAGATACTCGCTAATAAAACCGCATGTAAAAAGGTAATCGTACAAAAAATGACAAGTACCTTAGACGGATAATGGTTATGCAGTCATAAAAATTGCAAATCGTGGTGATTACACGTTGCAGAAATCTTGCTAGAATATTTTCTATTAAATGAACACATACAAGGGGGTTTTTACCGTAATAAGGAAGTTCAAAAGCAATACGATCATAGCAACGGGTCCGTCGATGGGACTGGACTACCATCACGACGAACAAACCATTGAGGCAGTGTATGCGAACATTATGTGGTAGCATGGATGGGCGACCAAGCGCACGTTCTACCGACACACGCTACCGTTTCCGCGGCCGACATGCTGCATCGTCACTTCACAATTAAATAATCCGGCAATTTTATTTCGTAAAAATCACTGTCTATGTGTTTTAGAACGAAAAGTACAAATAGTGTGTTTAACATTACTGTCGGTCATCAAATACAAAGAAGAATTCCTGGAATAAGGATAGAAGGCAAAAAGTCCAGTCAAAACACTCAAGATTAGCTCAGGATATGAAAGACTGAAGGTGCTTGTCCATCCAGTCTTAGGACTGACGATCTTATGATGATAACGATAACCCAGGGAACTTCACAAATGCGTTTGATCACCGCTACATCGCATTCTTTTTGAAGACTTGGTTTACTACTGAAAATCCCGCAGATAGTTATAAGCAAACTTCTCTTCCAATACTCAACAACTCAGACATCATGTCCCCTCATCAGTCAGAAATAACGCGTTTCTCTCACACAAAGAGATGCGGGGGATTCTCTCTTTTCGACTTTAGTACATATCTCGACATCTCAAAAGAAGACTTTTGGCTAAGGCGGCATGCTTTCTTCTGCTTCCTTCTGACTCAAGGAAACTACAGAAAAATTTGGTTTTGGGCAGACGAACCGGTGTCCTGTCGAATGCTAGGCATTGGTCTTAACCCCCTGGTCACGTCGCTGGGTTCGACATATCATAACGTTACTCCTTCTTATATCCTCGTCATGATTAGATGGAAAGTTCTACCAAGGCGACTCATTTCTCTGGCTCATACGTCCAAATTCCGGTATCATCCGCCAGGCGAAAAATCGTTTCGAGTACTAACCTTACTGATTAGTGCAGACATGCTCTCAGGATAAATCACACGGCCGATCAAAACAACCTTCTGTCTCTCTTGGTAACGCATCACTCATTTGTTAAAGAGTATTAGAATATTTTTTGCTCACAATTTAATTATTTGAGTTCGATAAATACCACCAGTTTTAAATAATTTTGCAAAATTTCATCGAATCTTTTTGACATAANAGTTCCTGTATTCGCGGCCAAAAATTTCATCATTCGCAGATGCAATCGGTAAACAGAAAAGGATTCGGTGTCATTTATTAAGGGGACTGAATTTTTCCGAAAACATGGTTTCTATTCTAAACATTGTGATTTAACACTGCGAGAAAAATATGTAATTTTTTTGTATAATAACAGACAAAGGTGCACACTAACTGTGTACGTTTTTTGTTTTCAATAATATAGACATTAAAAGATTTTACAAGTGCTTAAAATTGATGCTTGTTGTAGAACACCTATTTTCAATAGAAATTAAAAAATTAAGAAATGGCCTTCGACGGGCTTTAGAACAAAGCTTTATCTATGTTACTACAAAATTTCAAACCTTTGTTTCAAATATTAAACTCATGATATCTAGAACCGATAATCATGTTTTTACTCTATGGCGCGTGTACTATTGAATCCCCTTAATGTATCGGAATCTTTTGAGTATGTGCTGTTGGCAGCTTTTATAAAATATGTAACCGAGTAAACAAAAGGATTCGGTGTTATTTTTCAACGTATCGGCATGTTTTAAGTACTGTTGGCTCGTGCCGGGGCGACTTTTATAAAAAATGTGTGCGAGTGGACTAATTTCAAAATTCAAAACAAGAAAACATCACTAAATTTTTTAAACTCTTGCCTAAAGCTGGGGAAACTAATTTTACACACTTAACACACTGTTAAAGAAAACAGTACACGAAAATGAATATTGTTTTTATTTTATCCGCCGACTGCTATTTTTTTAAATCTTCACTGTCGTTTTTCTTTGAACTCATCGCAATTACACGAAACACCGTTCCTCAAACAATTTTCACGCCCATTCTATTGGTTCAACTGTTTTCTTTTTGTCTTCGTTCAGGACTCATTTCATGCAACCACTCCGGGACGCTGACCAAAACTGTTATAGAATCTCGCGATTCGTAAAAGACGTTGATCTTTAAGCTCGCTAAATGTCCAGTTTTCGGTAAAAAAATGTCAAGTATCATGTACTTCTAGTTTGTTTGATGAGTTCCGAGGGTTCTACCCAGAACAACTGTAGAAACTAGGGATTAGTAAGAGACACTGATTTTTAAGTTTAAGAAAAGTGGCCAAAATCTCACAGTTTTAGAATCTAAGAAGAGTTCTGCGGCTGTGAAATACTCCTATAGGACTAGTTCTAGTCAAAACAGAACTATTGCAGAAACTCCCGATTAATGAGAGACCTTGATTTGCCAAATATTCCTTTTTCGATAGAAGAATAACCAGCACCCCGCAATTCTAGGATATATGAAGAGTTCTACGGCTGTAAAAAACTTCGAAGGAGGTAATTTTAACCAGAACAGAACTACTGTAGACACTTCCGATTAGTGAGAGATTCTGATTTTTAGACCTGTAACTCGTCAAATATTCCTTTTAAGCACCCAACAGTTCTAATCTCCAGTTTGACGGATCCTAATAGACATTACTAAATAGCACAGTTTAGATCACATTCAAATCCTTTCGACGAGAACTGTTTTTATACAATCAGACAAACAGAGAGATAGCAATTTCAGATAAAAAATCTTTCGACTTTTTTATGAGCTTCAAGGAATTTTACAGAAACTACTTCATTATTTTTGTGGCCCAATATAATGCAAAATCAGCACCTGGTTCGTCAGAATGAAGTGATCGTGGTATATTTAAATGAATGTATGTAAATTTAAAAAACAACATTGTGATAGAAATATGTGCACCTGCAAAATAATGACGAACATTGTAACAAAACATTAGCCGCTGGCATTACAGTCTGCTGTGTTTTAATAAAAAGGTATTTCAGTTTTTTTTTTCATTGTCAGCTGAGTGTTTTCGTTGTCATTTATTAGTACTCATTTTATGTGTTGTGGCATAAACACTTTAATACCTTTTAATTATGTTATATTTTGAAACATTGGTATACTACATGATATTTATGCCAGCTTATTTTCATTGTATTAATTTAATATTTATTTAAACGGCTAATTACATATGTTTATGCTTTGTATACAATTTACCTTAGCATGAATCGTCTAAGTTGACTGATCGGTGGTAAAAAGCTTTAAAATTATTTTTCAGTTTTATTCGATTTTTGAGGACCCAACAGAGAATGTTCATGTTTTTTTAAATAAATTTTATTGTACTTATATATGTATATGGACAATGAATTAATTTGTCTTTGTTATTGTTACAGATGTTAAACCTTCTCGAAAAAGTCAATAAAATCGTGTTCATCAAGGTTTTTAATGGAAAATAATTATGGTAAGTTTCTTTATTATGTTTTCTGTTAATGTAAGCCCTTAGACTTTCTGTAACAAGTCAAATAGTGCGAAAGTATAAACAATTATTGTCGTAACTGATAATATTTTTAAAGTAGGCACATGTATGTATGTTGATATGTATATGTTCGCTTCAATATAAATGTATGTTAACTTTTAAATTATTAATTTGACTGTTATCAACCTGATACATTAATTCGTTATTGGTTTTGATTGATGAGGCAGATAATTTCGATTGATATAACAATGAAAATCATCGCAATATGGATTATAAAAAAATTACAATTTAGAGTAAATAAATAATCAGTGATGTCAGAATTTTTTTGATTTTCTGAGGTAAACAGGAAGTGTAATGTAAGTAAAAATGTTGACAAGGTTTGTCGTAATTTTATCTTTTTGGTTTAAAATTTAAATGTGGCTGAAAATCTTTTAAAAAATTTGGAATACAACAGTAATTTAAGACTGTCGAATAGGACGGAACGCAGTAGGGCGCCTGGGTGCGTTCAATTTTCACTACCTTTATATTACTCGTTACAAATACATACCACTGATTTGGAATACTTCCTGCTTTCAACATTAGACGTATTTGATGTTCGAAAAAGATAATGTTGTTATCAAGAATCTTGTAATCAAAATGAAGTCAAACTAAGCGATAACAAGTAATTAATTACTATAGATGTTATTTGTTGAAATTATTTTGTCGATAATAAACAAATAAGAGAAAACTAAACAGGTTCAGGTATGGAGGTAGAACATAGAATTAGGTTGGAAAATATATTATGCAAATGTAATAAGGATGCATAAAAGATGACCAATTTATAATTAAATAATTTATTATGTTGTCGAACTTCGATAAATTAGAATTTTTAAATGACATATGCACAAAAATGTGTTGTCATAACGCGAATCGAACGTCATTTATGCTTACTAACTATGTTCCGACATTTCACCATGAGTCGTTTAACTAATGCCGGGGTGTCTAACCCAAATGATCTTGCGGACCACTTGATGATTATAAAGTCATTAATAAAACAGGCAATATTTGTCATATATTCATAAGAATATCGTTTTAGAATTAAAGTTAATTTTCTTTCATAGTTAGTTCAACAGTTAATTTTTGAATATATGGTAGCGCAAATACTTAATGTATTGCTTTCTACTACATCATCATTATCATCATAGGGTCGTCAGTCCTAAGACTGGTTGGATATGCACCTCAACCCATTACTATTTTGAGCTAATTCTTGCATTTTCCTAAATTTAGGACATCCCACACCCTTAACTATTTGTCATCTTATCTAGGTCTACCTGTGCTCCTCTTAACTCCTGTTTCTGCTTCTAATATGTCTTCATAACTAGACCCTTCTCCCTGGGGAGGTATCCTACCAACCTGTCTCACCTATTTCTTATTGACTTCCGTAGCGCCACAATGAATTTAGTATTAACAAACCATTTCGCGACATGGTCCTATTATCTAACTGCCAAGGTAATGCGATCTTATTAGGCTCCTGAACTTTTTTCTTTGGGGATATCTAAAGTCATTGGCGTACACTAAAATTCTTCAAACCAACGACGACATAAATTATTTACGAAATCAAACCCAACTTGCGTGATACGCTTCTCAATTAGGATTTGTGAATTACGTTTTTATTATTTTTGATATAAGAGCGATTTAAAAAAATATGTCATCCTAATTGGTTGGCATTTTAATTCACAAATAACTATAGGTATATTTCGTTCANTAATTATTAAAGAACCTAAAAAAAGAATTTAAATTATTACTAAACTTAGGTTATGAATTATTCTATTTATTTACACTACTGTCAATTTATTTTTGGATTCACTTCTGCAACAGTCAATTTATTTCTCCTTCTCTCTGCGATCGTCTCTTCCTTTAAATACTCTTTTATTTGCTTTCGGGAACCTTCTGGAATACGTCCGGATAGTCTATTTTTCTTTGAACTGTTTCACTGATTTCCCAGAACGCAGGTACGGCACACACCCGCGGCTAGTCGGCGAATCGATAAGCCGTTCACGCACACGTGTGCCTGATCGCACACAAAACACTCGTGCTCGCTACAGCATGTATTTTCACGATATTTTGGTTCATAAGGTTATTATTATTTTTTAGATCTCGACCACTTTTTAAATGCCAATAATAAGTAAAGAAACGTTAAACATGGTTAAAGATTTTATTGAATTAGTTTTCGATCACTTTATCCTATATAAAACTGGGGTGCCTCTATTCAAAGCTGTCTAATCCCGTGAAAAATAGGTAAATCTATAGCACATATGTAGAAGGTAGAAAAGAAAATATCAAAATTTGTATTTCTTTCTATAAAAAACATTTGCCTAATTCGTTTATAAGCGGTCGAGAACTGACATCAAAGTGATCGACAGTTGCGATGGTTGCGGTGGTCTTAAACAGGCTAAAAGTGCATTTTTTTAGATGTCATCAATTAATTTATCAATTACGAATAAAACCCCTACACTCGCAGGCTATGAATTTAGGTTCAATTGACCGCGGGGTGCAACTTACATATCCGGTGCTGTCACTGATGTTGTTGCATATGTCGTTGAATAATTGATGCATTTTTCAACAAATACACTGTAGATAAGTATGTGATCATCAATGATGCTCTATGGAAATAATAATTTCGAGTTGTGTTACATTTCTATAAAATAGAATAAGAAGAGAGAAAGAGAGAGAGACGCGAATTTCATGCTTTACTTCTCAGCAGAACGCGATGCGCTACTTAACATAAAATTGCTAATTAATTACCGAGAGGTTTTTGCTTGATTCTCAATTCCATTTTCTGCCATTGTGGTTTCGACGTTTTCATTATGGAGTGGTTTTTAAGTGGTTGCACGGTCTCAGTTTTACATTTATTCGAACAAATTGCATATGTACGTACATTTTAAGAACGCATATAGAACAGAAACTTTTATATGTTACGGATACATAGAACTAACAGCAAATGCGAAGTGCTTAAAAGCATAGGAATCTGGTTAATGTAACAATTTAAAGTAGGGCGTCTGCTGAAATGCTACTTAGGAAATTTTTTGTCTCTAATAATAAGAAATGTATGTGTCTGGTATAAACATAAAATTTGCTTGCCAGGGATAGGGTTGCTATCCCTCCGGATTGGTGCTAATTTCGAAGGCGTTCGGGGAGCGTCCGTGTAGGTCCGGGTTTTAAAATTATTCACCCTATCTGTTCGTCGCCAGTCATACACCCTGTCCATATTCATCATCATAAGGTCGTCAGTCCTAAGATTGGTTGGATATGCACCTCCACCCTTTCCTATCCTGAGCTAATCTTCGCATTTCCCTTAAACTAGAACAACTCACATCCTTAACTATTTGCGAACATTAATTTAATCTAGGTCTACCTCTACTCCTCTTAACTCCTGTTTATGCCTCTAATATGTCTCTGACTAGACCTTTATGCCTGTGAAGGTGTCCTACCAACCTATCTGGCTTATTTTTTATTGATTTCCATTGCGCCCTCTGTTCTCGTATTCCTTCTAATAACTCTTCATTTCTACCTTTTTCTATCCACGGTATCCTCATCATTCGCCTTTAATACCACTTTTTGAGCACTTCTAAGCTTTTCCTTTCCGCCGTGCCCACCGTCCATGTTTCGAACCCGTACAGCATTGCGTTCCCAACATACTCCTTTAACAATCCTTTTCGAATTTCTAAATTAACCGTTCAGGAGCATAGAAGTGAGTTCTTTTTATTGAAGGTGACTGGACCCTGCGTTATCATCCGCTTTATATCCCTACTACTCCTTGCGTCCTAATTTATCTGACTTCCTAGATACCTAAAATCAGCTACCTCTTCTATATTCGCTCTTATCCTATTTTTTCTTTCCTTATTTTAATACAATTCCATTTTTTCCTTCTTGCTAAATTTCTGCCTAACAAATAATTAAAGATTATTCCCAGGTATGTATCTAGTAGCAATATGACAAGTCTTTTTTTACTTTATATTTTGGCTTTTTAGTCGTTAGCGACTCTAAAAAGATCATGAGTCAAATATTCGAAATAAAAATTCTATGAAACATTACAAATGTTCTTATTGTACAACTTCAATTGTAAAAAAATGTTTTCTCAAAAGCCGAACAACCTCTGTATCTCTAAAGGATTGCGATTTATTTCAGTAACTTCGTGATTTAATTACAATCACCGGTATTTCTTTTTCCGAATTCACAACATGAGCAATAGTAACAGCAAACGATTGGCGTAGTGAAAAAAAAGTGTAGAAAGTAAGCGACCACATTTATTACGAAGGATTTTTTGAAATTAAATCGGTCACAGCCTTGACGTTTACGGTTTTGCTTTTTTGTCGATTCGTTACATTTAGCAAAGAAGTAGTAATTGTAACGAATAACGAAATTCAGGCAGTGTAATAACAGTGACAACAAATCAGGAAAAGAGCACAAATACAATTTCATGAATACACTTAAGCCGCATCTTAATTCGACAATCTCATTTTCGTAATTTATTTGGGATGGAAATATATATTTCTGATACACATCATTAAGAACGTCTTAATAGCATGTATCGGCTGGCTTATGTAAACAAAAATAACATGGGATTCTGAAAAAATATGGAAAACTTGGACGTCTACAAACAAACTTGTTTTCTAGCTGAAAAAATCGAACGTATATATAAATACGTAAATCATTATTTTAAAAATAAAACGATCTTCTTACGAAATATACAACGGAAAATGTATTTTTAAGCACTCATGTACTCGACAACTTTCAGCAATTTGCTTATTTCACTCGAAAATTCCAATTCAAAGGGATTACCTANAATATTGTTTAAGAATGACTATATAAATATTTACATGCCTAGAAATGTATAAAAATTGGCATATTTATTAACTTTGAACCCCCATAACTTTTAATGGGGGTGAGACCGCCACGAACTTTTTATGGTACAGTGGTGGGGGAGACCTCCTCTTTCGATTATCCCC